GGCCATCTGTCGGGGGTGCTTTGAATGCATTTTCCTGCTTCTTGGCAGAATGGGGTTGGACTGGATGGCTCATGAGGTCTCTTCCAACTCTACGATTCTCCACAAATGCATGGTATACGGCAGACTGCTGCAGAAGTGAGAAGATCCTTCTTGTCCTTTGCTGTTTGGATCCTCTTTTTCCCCCTTCTTGAACATAGGAAGAACATTTTCCCTCTTCCAGTCTGTTGGTACCGCTTCTGTTCTCCAAGATTCTGAAATAACTTTGGCTATTTCCTTCAGTGTCTCCCTCCTCCTCCTCCTCCTCCTCCTGATTGCCTGGGACTGGCTCTGGAAGGAGGGAGAAGATTCACATGGGAGCCCAGGGCCAGTGTCCCAAGAGGAGGGAGGAGAAGGGGCGTGGAAGAGGAGGAGACCCTCAACCCCCAGCAGCAGAAGAGTCCCAGGTCAAAGAAGCAGGCGCTGCTCTCGCTCCTTCCACCTCAAGGCCAGGCGGTGAGACCTCCTCCACCCTTGGTGGGTTTTGGGGGGGATCCAGATCTGGTGGGAAGGTGGGGAGGGAGGGGGGTCTCTGTTGGTGTCCTTTCCAGCCTGTTTACTTCTTTTTTTCACAGAATCATAGAATCCTAGAGTTGGAAGAGACCTGGTGGGCCATCCCGTCCAACCCCATTCTGCCAAGAAGCAGAGAATTCGCCTTCAAAACAGCCCTGACAGATGACCATACAGCCTCTACTTAAAAGCTTCCAAAGAAGGAGCCTCCACCACACTCCGGGGCAGAGAGTTCCACTGCTGAACAGCTCTCACAGTCCTCATGTTCAGGTGGAATCCTCTTTCAGTTTGAAGCCATTGTTCCCTTGCGTCCAAGTCTCCAGGGAAGCAGAAAACAAGCTTGCTCCCTCCTCCTCCCTGTGACTTCCTCTTATATTGATACATGGCTATCATGTCTCCTCTCAGCCTTCACATAGCCAGTTATAAGTATGTGAGAGGAAGTCATAGGGAGGAGGGAGCAAGCTTGTTTTCTTCTGCCCTGGAGACTAGGATGCAGAACAATGGCTTCAAACTACAAGAAAGGAGATTCCACCTGAACATGAGGAAGAACTTCCTGACTGTGAGAGCTGTTCAGCAGTGGAACTCTCTGCCCTGGAGTGTGGTGGAGGCTCCTTCTTTGGAGGCTTTTAAGCAGAGGCTGGATGGCCACTTGTTGGGGGTGCTTTGAATGCGATTTTTCTGCTTCTTGGCAGAATGGGGTTGGACTGGATGGCCCATGAGGTCTCTTCCAACTCTATGATTCTGTAACTCTATTCTATGGTTCTCTTCTGAAGGCTAAACATGCCCAGCTCTTGAAGCCGCTCCTCATAGGGCTTCTTCAGAAGGAGGTTGGACTGAATGGCCCTTGGAGGTCTCTTCCTACTCTAGGATTTCTATTATTGTTGTTGTTGTTATTGTTATAATTGAGCAGAGGCTGAATGGCCATCAGTCAGTGATGCGGAGATATTCCAAAATATAGATATTTACACATACTGTATATGGTATGTACATTAGAAGCTCTGAAATGTCGAAAAATCCCGATTCTCTCTGTATTAGGAAGGCAAGCTGACAGGGGGGAGGAGAAGGGGGGCTTGTGTTATCTATACATTCCAGAGGCCTTGGACGGCTTGGTACGGGCTACGGGCTAAAGGGAAGAAGTGGTATTCTCTCCTTCCCTCCTGACAGGTCAGAAATAGGCCCCTTGATTGATGTCTAAGCTGCTCTTTAGAAAAATGCTGGGACATGCCCTACGCATGCAGTAAGATATAATTTGATATTTCTATAATACTAAAGTGACGTAGTGACGATGTAAATGTATGTAGGAGCATGTTTCTTTGTTTGCCTGTGTTTGATTGCCTCTGTTTGACTGGATGGACATCTGTCGGGGGTGCTTTGAATGCAATTTTCCCGCTTCTCGGCAGGGGGTTGGACTGGATGGCCCATGAGGTGTCTTCCAACTCTTTGATTCTATGATTCTATAAAGGGGAAGTCAACGCCTTTATCCTCACTCTTGTTTGCTTTTGGAGGAAATTCCATGCCAGGGACTCAACTGAAAAAAAAAGCGTACTTTTCTGCCTCAACAAAGGTATGCTCTTGGTATTATTACATGGTATTACATGGCCATCAGTGTGTCTCCTTTCAGCCTTCTCTTCTGAAGGTTAAACACGCCCAGCTCTTTAAGCCGCTCCTCATAGGGCTTGTTCTCCAGACCCTTGATCCTTTGAGTTGCCCTCTGGACACATTCCAGCTTAGAGAATCATAGAATCAAAGAGTTGGAAGAGACCTGGTGGGCCATCCAGTCCAACCCCCTGCCAAGAAGCAGGAATATTGCATTCAAATCACCCCTGACAGATGGCCATGCAGCCTCTGTTTAAAAGCTTCCAAAGAAGGAGCCTCCACCACACTCCAGGGCAGAGAGTTCCACTGCTGAACGGCTCTCACAGTCAGGAAGTTCTTCCTCATGTTCAGATGGAATCTCCTCTCTTGTAGTTTGAAGCCATTGTTCCATTGCGTCCTAGTCTCCAGGGAAGCAGAAAACAATCTTGCTCCCTCCTCCCTGTGACTTCCGCTCACATATTTATACATGTAGAAGAAGAAGAAAAACACAACTTCTTTTCCACCTCAAGGCATGTGCAGAATAACAAGAGAAGGCGAGCTGAAGGCACACTTTGAGTCTCCTTGTGGAGAGAAAAAGAGGGTTAATAATAACAACAATAAGGCACAAGGAAGGGGAAAGCAAAGTGAATGAATTCCCACAGCAGGGCTTCATTGCATTTACTCTTAAACTGCCCAAGCGGTGCCTTTCCAGTGAAAAAAACAGTGTTTGCTCACTGGAAAGCTGTAAACTCTCTTTTCTCTTTAGGCTATTGCTGGTTTGCAGATATTGTTACTTCACTTGGACTTCATCTCTCCATAGTTTTGTCATGGCATGAAAAGGGAAGAGGTTCTTCAACCAAGATGGAAGCTGTTTTGGAGCCCAGAGTGAAGGTAGAGGAGCCAAGTCCACCCAGCCCTGAAGGAGGAAGAGAGACATGGGGCAGGAGAAGTGTTGGATTCTGGGGGAGAACAGGGCAGGATGCTCTAGAGGAGAAGGCCTTCAAGCCAGACCTTCAGGGCCAACACTTCCATTGCTATGAGGAGGCCTTGGGGCCCCGAGAAGTTTGCAGCCGCCTCCACTCTCTGTGCCGCCTGTGGCTGAAGCCTGAGCGACACTCCAAGGCGGAGATGTTGGACCTGGTCATCCTGAAGAAGTTCCTGGCCATTGTTCCTGTAGAGATAGAGCACTGGGTGAGAGAATGTGGGGTAGAGACCAGTTCCCAGGCCATGGCCTTGGCTGAAGGCTTCCTCCTGAGCCGGGCAGAAGAGGAGAAGGCATTACAAGAAGAGTGGCAGGAGGGAGATGTCCTTCAGGTCCAGGAGGCCCCACCAGGCACCAACCAGGACTTCTCTTCCAGTTGGATCAAGCTGGAGGAGGAGGACACAAAGGGCTGCTCCTCCAGGTAAGAGGTCTTTTGCTTGGTCCTTGCTCTCAAGGTTCGTCCAAATGTCAGGTCTTCTGTTATGTCCCCAAAATATTGGTTTCCATTGCTGTTTGTTAGAGGAGAACAAAGGGGCTGCTTCACAGGGTAAGATACCTTCTTTCTCTTGGTCAAAGATCTCCCAATCGTATGATCTTCCATTATGTCCCCCAAAATGCTTGTCTTGAATAGATGTTTAGTTAGAATGTTTTAAGAGCAATTTTAAGAATATTTGCATCCAAGCTGCTATTGTATGGAATTTATTTATTTGTCATGTCATGGTTGGTCCTGAAAAGGACCGTTGGTTGTTTTGCTTGCTTGCTTGCATGCTGGTCGCTTCTGTGGCGAAAGAATCAGCTGTCTACGAAGACGCTGCCCAGGGGACACCCGGATGTCTTGCAATCCTGCGAGAAGGCTTCTCTCATGTACCACCACCTGACATCCGCCGGGAAGTAGCAGCCAATAGTGAAAGGACCAAGGCAGAGACATCTCCAGCTCATCCCCTGTTTGGGTATCAGCCAGCACATCAACGACTTAAATCTAGACATAGTTTTCTAAGATCTACAGAGACACTCGCTGGAACACCAATGTCCTTTGACCAGTATCTGGCCACTTGGAGTGCCTCTGGTGTTGCCGCAAGAAGGTCCTCCTTTGTGCATGTAGCAGGGCTCAGGTTGCATTGCAGCAGGTGGTCAGTGGTTTGCTCCTCTCCACACTCGCATGACGTGGATTCCACTTTGTGGCCCCATTTCTTGAGGTTGGCTCTGCATCTCGTGGTGCCAGAGCGCAGTCTGTTCAGCACCTTCCAAGTCGCCCAGTCGTCTGTGTGCCCAGGGGGGAGTCTCTCATTTGGTATCAGCCATTGGTTGAGGTTCTGGGTTTGAGCCTGCCACTTTTGGACTCTCGCTTGCTGAGGTGTTCCAGCGAGTGTCTCTGTAGATCTATTTCTAGATTTAAGTCGTTGACGTGCTGGCTGATACCCAAACAGGGGATGAGCTGGAGATGTCTCTGCCTTGGTCCTTTCACTATTGGCTGCTACTTCCCGGCGGATGTCAGGTGGTGCAATACCGGCTAAGCAGTGTAGTTTCTCCAGTGGTGTAGGGCGCAGACACCCCGTGATAATGCGGCATGTCTCATTAAGAGCCACATCCACTGTTTTAGTGTGGTGAGATGTGTTCCACAGTGGGCATGCATACTCAGCAGCAGAGTAGCACAGCGCAAGGGCAGATGTCTTCACTGTATCTGGTTGTGATCCCCAGGTTGTGCCAGTCAGCTTTCGAATGATATTGTTTGTGCCATTAAAAAAAAAACCTTTTTCCTGTTCCTTAACCTTTCTTTTTAGGATGTCTTATTGCTCCGCTTTTGTGTTGTTTAAATTTTAAACCACTTTGCATCTTCAAAATGAACTTTGGAAAACAAAGAAATTCATCTTCCCTTCCCATGTTTGCCATTTCACAGGAGATGAGCCAAGGGTGCTGGGAAGACGTGATAACTCTATTCTTTCTGACGCAGGAAAAGTGGCATCCATTCAGCAAGATCAGGTAAAGAGATGGCAGTCGAAATGAACTGGAGATATGTACTGGAACTTACTTTTCTTCTGCGTCCACCCAAGTTTAGTTTTAAGAAATCCCACAAAGAGTCGGAAGCGACTGAACAAATGAACAACAACAATACTTGTACCCCGCCCTTCTCACCCGCGAGGGGGGACTCAGGGCGGCCTCACAGCAAACACCATTCGGTGCCATCATAATGATAAAAACTATCAACAAATTGGGTTGTTGTAGGTTTTTCCAGGCTATATGGCCATGTTCTGGAGGCAATTTTTCTCCTGACGTTTCACCTGCATCTATGGCAAGCATCCTCAGAGGTAATGAGGTAATGACCTCATTACCTCTGAGGATGCTTGCCATAGATGCAGGCGAAACGTCAGGAGAAAAATTGCCTCTAGAACATGGCCATATAGCCCGGAAAAACCTACAACAACCCATGGATTCCGGCCATGAAAGCCTTTGACAATACATATCAACAAATTCATTAAAACAAAACATTAAATGAACAGTTGTTAAGACATGCCAATTAAAATCCGGGTCCGGGTCAATTAATTGTCACTTCGAAATTGCTTATGTCTTCTTCATACAAGCTGCTATTCAGTGGCCAAACGCAAGGTCCCACAGCCAAGTCTTGGGTTTCCTTCTAAAGGACAGGAGGGAGGTGGCCAATCTGATGTCTTTGGGGAGGGAGTTCCACAGACGGGGAGCCTCTGTTGAGAAGGCCCCGTCTCTCGTCTCCACCAGTCGCATTTGCGATGGCGGTGGGATCGAGAGCAGGGCCTCTCCAGATGATCTTAAACTTCATGATGATTTGTAGCAGGAGATAAATTCAGACATATAATCTGGGCCAGAACCATTTACAGCTTTAAAGGTTAAAACCAGCAGATTGGCAGCCAGTGGAGCTGGCGTAACAGAGGAGTTGTATGCTCCCTGTACGTCGCTCCAGTGAGCAACCTGGCTGCTGACCGTTGGACTAATTGAAGCTTTTAGGCAGTCTTCAAAGATATCCACATCTTCGGGCGAAAACACAAAAATCCCACAAATGTTGCAGGTGACTTCATGACCTCCCTTACCATGATGATGCTTCTCACCTTTTTAGAAGTTGGGGTGACTACTCCTAAAACTGACCTCTTTGAATTCTTTACTCAATGGATCAAGATTCTTCTTAGCAGTTTAAGAAGCACTATTCATTTGTGTGTCCAACTTCCTTCTTTCAGGTGATATTTGAGGATGTGGCTGTCCATTTCAGTGTGGAGGAGTGGGCCTTACTGGATCCGGATCAACGGGCCCTGCACGGGGAGGTCATGGAAGAAAATTATCGGATGGTGGCTTCTCTGGGTAAGAATCCCTCAGCCTCTTGGTGCATAGTTCAGAAACATGAGTCACCTTGGCCAGCACTTCTGGTGTTGCAACTCAGAGTAGGTTTCACCTTGCTCCCAAACACCACCACACCAGAGTTGTAGATGTTGTAGTTTATTGAGGAAAAAGCAAAGTCAAAAACATATAATAAAAATGCAAAGTTCCATAAACAAAGATTAAATGCAAAAAGCACAATTCCCAAGATCTATAGGCATAACATGAAGCATAATTCTTAGGCAATGTCCAAACAAGAATCCATGGGAAAATGGCTAAACACAAGGCCCAAAAGACAGAGTCAGGAAGCCAAAAGCAAGCTGCTTGAAGCCAGGGTTAATCCATAGAAACTTACATGAAAAGAGCCACGTTGAACTGACATTTTCTCTTTGTCAGCCAGAAACCTAAATACCCTTTGCTACCATGAAAGCATTGCGCTGACCTTTAGCCGACTTGGCTTCTTGCTTGCCAGCTATGCGAGGACTCCTCCTGACCCTCCAGTCTAAGTGTTCTTGCCTGCTCATTAATTTACTATCTTCAGTGTTTTCTTTATCAGTTTGGTCCAGCTGGACCAGATCACTGTGGGAAGGCTGAGGAGGTGAAGAGGCCTCCACCTGGCTGTTATCTATCTCACTGGCATTCTTTTCCCTTGAGAACTGACTTGTTGGTTCCTCATCTGCACTGTCTGAGACAGGCACAGAAACAGGCCCAGAAATCTGCATCCCATAATCCTTTTTATCAGGAAACTCTGGCTCAGACTCAGAATCAAACTGATCCACAACATCTGGTTCCTAACCAGCCTGGAAGAAACAATTCCCCTATGGGTACTACTTCTGAGGAGCTGCTCTTCAGCAGGGCATTTACTCAAAGTTTACTTGAACACGGTTTAGTAGGGTGGCTCAGGGTGTTTTTGGGTTGCATGTTGCACCCCTCCTGCTGTAGATAATATGGTGGGAGTGCTCATCAAAGAACTTCCAGAAAAGGGTGCTCCTTTTATGAGGCAAAGTTCTCTCCTCCTTAAAAAGATTCTCACCTCCTCTCTCTCTCTCTCTCTCTCTCTCTCTCTCATTTTTGTAGTTGACTGATTTCAATCTTCCCTTTTCCCATGCCTCCTACTTTTTTCTTCTTTCAAGGTGGTGATGAACAAGGGAGTGAGAATGAGGGAGCTCCGCATGAAATGTGGTTGAAAACAGCAAGAACTCAAAAGGAAGAGGAAAGAAGCTTGAGAACCGAAGCAGAAGGATATAACAGGAACCAGTGCCCTGTCGACACCAGGGAAGTCACAACAGAAGAGACAGTAGGTGAAATCAGGGAAATTGGAAATAGCCCTGTCTATGAGAATGGCTTCTTCCAGGAGGCAGCTAGTATACACCCTACACACAGTGAGGAACACCAAATTTTGGGAAAGCCATATAAATGCCTGGAGTGTGGAAAATGCTTTCATAAAAAAAGAAACCTCAGTGTACACCGTATGATCCACACGGGAGAGAAGCCATATAAATGTCTGGAGTGTGAGAAGAGTTTCCGTTGGAAAAAGAGCCTAAAGCTGCACCAAAGCACCCACACAGGAGAGAATCCATTTAAATGCCTGGAATGTGGAAAATGCTTCCCCCAAAAAGGAGTTCTCAACAAACACCAAAAAACCCACATGGGAGAGAAGCCATATAAATGCCTGGAGTGTGGAAAAGGTTTCTTTCAGAAACTACACCTCAAAGGCCACGAAAGAATCCACACAGGAGAAAACCCCTATAAATGCCTGGAGTGTGGAAAAGACTTTTATGAAGAGAGCAGTCTTATTAGACATGAAATGAATCACAAAGGAGAGAAACCCTATAAATGTCTGGAGTGTGAGAAGAGTTTCTGTTGGAAAAATAGCCTAAAGCTGCACCAAAACACCCACACAGGAGAGAAGCCGTTTAAATGCCTGGAGTGTGGAAAATGCTTCCCCCAAAAAGGAGTTCTCAACAAACACCAAAAAACCCACACGGGAGAGAGGCCATATAAATGCCTGGAGTGTGGAAAAGGTTTCTTTAGGAAAGGACGCCTCAAAGGCCACGAAAGAACCCACACAGGCGAGAAGCCATATAAATGCCTGGAGTGTGGAAAAGGTTTCTTTCAGAAAAAAAATCTCAACATACACAAAAGAACCCACACAGAAGAGAAGCCATATAAATGTCTGGAGTGTGGAAAAGGCTTTAATGAAGAGAGATATCTTATTGGACATGAAATGAATCACAAAGGAGAGAAGCCCTATAAATGTCTGGAGTGTGGGAAGGGTTTCTGTTGGAAATATAGCCTAAAGCTACACCAGTGCACCCATACGGGAGAGAGGCCATATAAATGCCTGGAGTGTGGAAAAGGTTTCATTCAGAAACTACAGCTCAAAGGTCACGAAAGAACCCACACAGGAGAAAAGCCATATAAATGCCTGGAGTGTGGAAAATGCTTTAATAAAAAAAGAAACCTCAGTGTACACCGCATAACCCACACAGGAGAGAAGCCATATAAATGCTTGGAGTGTGGAAAATGCTATACCCAAGATAATAACCTAAGGAGACACCAAAAAACTCATACAAGAGAGAAACTAAATAAGTGTTTGAAGTGCGGAAAAAGCTTTGTTTCAAATATAAGTCTCATTAGGCATGAAATGAATCACACAGGAGAAAAATCCTACAAATGCCTGGAGTGTGGAAAAGGCTTTTATGAAGAGAGCAGTCTTATTAGACATGAAATGAATCACAAAGGAGACAAACCCTATAAATGTCTGGAGTGTGGGAAGAGTTTCTGTTGGGAAAAGAGCCTAAAGCTACACCAGTGCACCCACAGAGGAGAGAAGCCGTTTAAATGCCTGGAGTGTGGAAAATGCTTCCTCCAAAAAGAAATTCTCAGCAAACACCAAAAAACCCACACGGGAGAGAGGCCATATAAATGCCTGGAGTGTGGAAAAAGTTTCTTTCTGAAAGTACACCTCAAAAGCCACGAAAGAACCTACACAGGAGAGAAGCCATATAAATGCCTGGAGTGTGGAAAAGGTTTTTCTGATAAGAGGATTCTTATTGGACATGAAATGAATCACAGAGGAGAGAAACCCTATCAATGTCTGGAGTGCGGGAAGAGTTTCTGTTGGAAAAATAAGCTAAAGCAGCACCAAAACACCCACACAGGAGAGAAGCCGTATCAATGCCTGGAATGTGGAAAAGGTTATTCTGATAAGAGACATCTTATTGGACATGAAATGAATCACAGAGGAGAGAAACCCTATCAATGTCTGGAGTGTGGGAAGAGTTATACCCTTAAATCTGTTCTTAGAGTTCACCAGAAGAGTCATACAGGAAAGTGTGGGAAAAGTTTTAGCTACAAATCAGACCTCAAAAATGTCCAGGATAGTCATACAGAGGACAAGACCAAAGACATGTCTGGAATGATGGAAGAGCTTCCATTAGAGAGCAAGTCTCAAGGCCCACCAGAAAACCCACATGGGAGAGAAGTCAAAAAGCCTTGAATCTGATAAGAGTTTTAAATGTAAACCGATCTTCAAAGATTACTGGAATGTTTATACATTCTTCATTTTGGGAAGTGATGAGTTGCACAACAAGCTTCACAATGTAGTAAAAAACCCAAGCAGGAAAGAAACCGTGGAAATGCCTGGGGTGTGTTAATGCCTTCACTCAGGAGAAAAACCCCTTTGAGTATGAAGTGAATCTCAGAGGAGAGAAGCCTCTAAACCAGTGGCTCTCAACCTGTGGGTCCCCAGATGTTTTGGCCTTCAACTCCCAGAAGTCCTAACAGCTGGTGAACTGGCTGGGAATTCTCGGGAGTTGTAGGCCAAAACACCAGGGGACCCACAGGTTGAGAGCTACTGCTCTAAATGCTCAGAGAATGGGAAGAGCCCTAAACGGTTTGGGACCCACCTACCTCCGTGACTGGACCTGTTGTAGTTCAGCGTGTTCCTCAAGTTGCTACTCCTAGTAGCAGGGAAAACGGGTCTCCTTTGGAGTCAGAGGGGGAACAGCAGTGTCAGCATATTAGAGAAATCATTATGGCTCCAAGCGATACTGACACGTTCCCAGGTTTCACTGATTGGGAAATGGGGGATGGGGAAAGGAGCAGAGGTGTAAAGAGAGCTGCTCGAGAGCCTGAGTCTGAAGGGGAATTACAAAGGAAGCGTATTCGAGAAATACTTTGTGCACC